TTCATGATTTCTCTTTCATATGATGATTTTATTTTTGGATCTATAAGAATAATGTTGCAGAAAATAATTGTATCATATTATAGAAACACCAAAAGTAGGGCCTATCCGTTTTTCTAAAAGAAAAAATTGGAGTTTTATATTTCTCATATAACATAAGAGAAAATTTTCTACAAATCCTACGATTTTTGTGCTGACTAGAGTTCTACACATGAGTTTTTCTAATATATAGGTTTCACATGTTTTTTGTCTATATGGCATAAGAAGATTCATCTCATGTTATATAGAAAATATAAAACCCAAAAAACAATCACACATTTTGATGGATCTGCTTTCGTGCAACATGAACAAACCATAACCTTTTTATTTTATGTTTATATGTCAAAATTCATACAACCAAAGTTAACACTGATACTGTCGATGCAAATGCCAATTTTAGTTCCGCCAGATTTAAAATTTCTTAATCTAAATAAAGTTAATTAATATTTCTTATTTTATTAATTTTATGTCATAAAATTATAAAGGAGGGATGAATTTATGATATTATAAAAATAATAAGTTTAACCTCAAATCCTAACCATTAATTCTAATTAGAAGGAATCACGTAAAATTGTCGATATTAATATTTGTAACATTATTATTGTCAATTTAGTTATATTATGATCACTCAAAACATTTAGATTAAAAATTTATATTTTTTATTGCAATTTATTGTGATAATAATATACATGTTTATTTGATATATATATATATAAATATATATAGAGAGAGGTAGGATCCTTTGACACCGGTGTCAAATTTGAAATTTAACACCTCATCTGAGAGCCGTTAGATCGAAAAAGATCAACGACTCTGATTTGTAAGCATGTTATATCATTGATTTTTTCGATCTAACGGCTCTCAGATGAGGTGTCAAACTTCAAATTTGACACCGGTGTCAAAGGATCCTACCTCATATATATATATATATATATATATATATATATATATATATATATATATATAGACAGGATCCTTTGACACCTTATCTTAGAGTCATTAGATCAAAAAAGATCAACGACTCTGATTTGTAAGCATGTCACACCATTGATCTTTTTTTATCTAACGACTTTCAGATAAGGTGTCAAATTTTAAATTTGACACCGGTGTCAAAGGATCCTACCTCATATATATATATATATATATATATATATATATATATATATATATATATATATATATATGGGGTAAAGTGGATGAACAATAATTAAACATAAGGATTGATGCAGTTACACTATGTACTACAGGTAGTATATAATGTATTTCAGAAATTAAGTATGTACTACGGGTAACATGATTTCTCCGTTCCCTCTCCGGCGCGCGCGCGCGCGCGCGCGCGCGCGCGCGCGCGCGCGCGCGCGCGCGCGCGCGCGCGCGCGCGCGCGCGCGCGCGCGCGCGCGCGCGCGCGCGCGCGCGCGCGCGCGCGCGCGCGCGCGCGCGCGCGCGCGCGCGCGCGCGCGCGCGCGCGCGCGCGCGCGCGCGCGCGCGCGCGCGCGCGCGCGCGCGCGCGCGCGCGCGCGCGCGCGCGCGCGCGCGCGCGCGCGCGCGCGCGCGCGCGCGCGCGCGCGCGCGCGCGCGCGCGCGCGCGCGCGCGCGCGCGCGCGCGCGCGCGCGCGCGCGCGCGCGCGCGCGCGCGCGCGCGCGCGCGCGCGCGCGCGCGCGCGCGCGCGCGCGCGCGCGCGCGCGCGCGCGCGCGCGCGCGCGCGCGCGCGCGCGCGCGCGCGCGCGCGCGCGCGCGCGCGCGCGCGCGCGCGCGCGCGCGCGCGCGCGCGCGCGCGCGCGCGCGCGCGCGCGCGCGCGCGCGCGCGCGCGCGCGCGCGCGCGCGCGCGCGCGCGAAAGAGAGAAAAAATAAGTACTACCCGTAGTACATAATTAATTTCTGAAAGACACTATATACTATCTGTCATACATAGTTACAATTTTTTGATCGCACCAAATCTTATATACAGTGACATTATACTTCATTTTCTATATATATATATATATATATATATATATATATATATGGCTTTAACGTTTCTACAGTGAATGTAGATAAGTTATTTACATTTACGTCTAAAATGACGTCGTTTTGGGTTGAAAAATTAAAAAATTATAAAGAAAAAAATTATTATAACCTTGGAATAAATTATAATTACAAAAATACATTGATTTCTACCTCAAAACGATGTCGTTTTGAGCTCAATGTAGATAAGTTATCTACTTTGATTGTAGAAAAAGCGGACCATATATATATATATATATTGGGTAGGACTTTTTTGTCAAATTTTGAAATTTGACACCAAATCCTATCTGTTGATTCCCTCCAATCAACGGTTATCATTTATTGAGAATTAATATTAATTAATAAGTTTGATTCCCAATAAATGAAAACCATTGATTGGCCAAAATCAAATGTTATGATTTAGTATCAAATTTCAAAATTTGACACCGGTGTCAAAGGATCCTATTTCATATATATATATATATATATATATATATATATATATATATATATATATAGGTAAAATACCCAAGTGTGGTGGCTCAGTGAGTAGCATGGGGACTGAGTGGTGGGAGAGAACTTCGGTTCGAATCCCACCAACACCATCTGGGGAGGGTTATAAGTATCGTAATCCTTGGACTCGCACCTGAACTCTGGATTAGTCCATAGGCGGCTCAAAGAGTCGAACACGTGGGGATACCGAGGGGTTCTGATTCGCCTCAAAGAGGTAATTAGGATCAGTTTCAAAAAAAAAAAATAGGTAAAATAATTTATCCGGCTGCTGGACGTCCAGCAATAAATCTTACACCGTTGATTAATTATGATTTCTCGCATTTAATTCTTTCACCTACCTTTGTATGGTTATGATTCTCCGAATTTGTTTGTTGGACGTCAAGCGGTTGGAGAAAAGTAAAGCATATATATATATATATATATATATATATTTTTTTTTTTTTTTTCTTATTACAATCACAAGAGATAAAATTATCTCCAACGACCCTAACATGACGTGGTTTTGGAGTTCACAATAAAAAATAAAGGATATTTTGAAAATTTTAATTTCATATTGCAACATGTATTTTACTAAAATATTTTTTATTTTTTATACTAAACTCCTAAATGACGTTCTTTTGAGATTGCGGGAAATAACTTTATCTCCTTTGTAGAAGATGTGTTAATCTCATATATATGAGAATGTTATATTTACAAACTTTTACAAACTATACTATGTCTTACTGGTAAGCTTATATAAAAAAAAATTGTGAATATAACCCTCCTTATATATATATATATATGGTAAAATCATTTCTGGAGCCGCTTTACGTACAGTAGCGACAGATGTATGGTTATGATTCCCCACATTTAATGCTTTTATCCTTTGTATGGTTATGATTCCCTCATATAATGCTTTCAAGTACATATACGACAAGTATTTGATTGCTACACGTACAGCAACTTCAGAAATGTAAACCCCTATATATATATATATATATATATATATAGGTAGGATCATTTGACACCGGTTTCAAATTTGAAGTTTGACACCTCATCTGAGACTTGTTAGATCAAAAAAGATCAATGATGTCACATGGTTACAAATCAGAGTCGTTGATTTTTTTTATCTGACGGCTCTCAGATGAGGTGTCAAAACTTCTTCTAAAATATCAAGCGCATATCAATGTTGAATATACTTGCAAGAGTAGTGCCATTAAATATCTCTTTAAATACATCCATAAAGGGCAAGACAGGGTGACAGCTGCTATAAATCATTCAGATGGTGAAATCAAAATGTTTTATGATTGCAGGTTGTTGAATTCATATCGGTTATGTTTACTTTCGTTACTTGGAATAACCTTTTTTCTAACTTAATTTAAATTTATTGCTTATATATGATAGGTATGTGTCCGCATGTGAAGATGCTTGGAGAATATCCGGATTTGAGATTCATTACAGATTCCCCCTGTTCAGCGATTTCCATTTCACCTACCCAATGAAAAAAGCGTTGTTTTTAGTGATCATGCTTCAATAACTGATGTCAAGACTAGGGCGGAGTCTAGACAATCAATGTTCGAGTCTTGGATGGATGCAAATAAAAAATATCCAGAAGGTAGGAATCTTACTTATGCAGAGTATCCAACTCAATTTGTATATGAAGAAAGTACGCATGAATGGCATCCCAGAAAACAAGGGTTTTCAATTGGAAGAATAAATCATTTTTCTGCCAATAATGGAGAAGATTCCTATCTCCGAACTTTACTTAATTTTCAAAAGGGTTATACAAGTTATGAAGATTTGAGAACGGTCAATGGGGTGCTTTTTCCTACATATAAGGATGCCTGCTATTCTTTGGGGCTTTTGGATGATGACAATGAGTGCATTGATGCAATTAAGGAGGCAAGTTCTTGGGGGTCAGCAACTTATCTGAGAAATCTGTTTGCCTTATTGTTATTTGGTAACTCAATGAACAGGCCTGAAAATGTTTTCCAAAAATGCTGGGAATTACTATCTGATGATGTTCTTTATCGACATAGGCAAAGAATTGGACGTGAAGGTAATTGTTCAGAACAAATTTTGTGCATTCATTTATGTGTATTGTGCATTATAATTAATATTCTTGCCGTTCTGTATCGTGCATTCATTTATGCAAACAGTTTGCTTATGTTTAATTCACTTGACCTTCGAAAAAATGTGAGCATTTTTTGTTCCTTCATAATAAAATTACATCTATACATTATACACCGTCCTATTCTTAATATTTGGTTAAAAAAATTCGTTATGTTTCACGCCCTTTACTTTGTTCATAATTTCGCTTTATTTTTCTCTCCTCACCAACTTTGTCTTTGTTAATCCTTTTTTTTTCTATTTTTCAATTTTTTTCAGATGCTTTGCTTACAGAGGATTCTATAAAAAACATAACCCTTGCAGAAATCGATAAGGTGTTGCAAAGCAACGGTAAATGCCTATCTGATTACCCATCCATGCCGAACATCATCGGTGAATCTTTATTGGATATGCAGAATAGATTGGTGATGGATGAATTGTTGTATGACAGTTTCTCTTTGAAAGAAGAGCATGACAGACTACTGAATTCACTCACTGATGAGCAGAGGGTTGTTTATGACAAAATAATTTCAGCTGTTTCGGCAGGTATAGGAGGATTTTTTTCCCTGTACGGCTTTGGTGGGACTGGAAAAACATTTATTTGGAACACCCTGTCAGCATTTGTTCGATCTCGAGCTGAAATAGTGCTTAATGTTGCTTCTAGCGGAATTGCTTCACTTCTTCTTCCTAGAGGACGTACGACACGTTCTAAATTTCGTATTCCTATACAGATCACCGAAGATTCAACATGTAATATAAAACAAAATTCTACTTTTGCAGAGTTGTTGTCAAAAACAAAGTTAATCATTTGGGATGAAGCACCGATGGTACACAAATTTTGCTTTGAGGCTCTTGATAGAACACTTAGAGATGTTCTTAGATTTTATGATATCAGCTGTGTTGATATGCCCTTTGGTGGAAAAGTTGTCGTTCTAGGAGGTGACTTTCGGCAAATATTACCTGTCATTCCAAATGGCAGTAGACAAGATATAGTTCATGCAACCATCAATTCTTCCTATCTATGGTCCCATTGTCATCTGTTATCTTTGACCAAGAACATGTGTCTCAATTCTGGAAGTAGCACTAATAATTTGTTAGAAATAAAAGAATTTTCTGAGTGGCTGCTTAAAATAGGAGATGGTGATCCTGGGGATGATGTTGATGGAGAATCTATTATAACAATTCCAGATGAATTGTTGATTAAAGGTTCAGAAGACCCACTTTCAGATATTGTTGATTTTGTTTACCCGAATCTGATGGATAATATATTAGATCCTACTTTCTTTAAAGAACGTGCTCTTCTGACTCCTAAATTGTTCGATGTTGCCATGTTAAACGAGCACCTAATGGTTGTGATTCCGGGTGAAAAAAGGACATTTTTGAGTTCAGATAAGGTTTTGAAACAATACGATAATTCATCTCTTGAGGATGACGAAATCTCCCCTGATATCTTAAATACATTCTCATGTTCGGGGATTCCTGATCATAAATTAACTTTGAAGGTTAAAGTACTGGTGATGCTATTGAGAAATATTGATCAATCAAGAGGTTTATGCAACGGTACGAGATTACTTATTACAAAGTTGGGGAATCATGTTGTTCAGGCAATTGTTCTTACAAGAAACAATATAGGAGATGCTGTGTTAATCCCTAGAATGACGATCAACCCATCGGGTCATACATTTCCAGTAAACTTCCAAAGAAGACAATTCCCCTTGGTAGTTTCATTTGCGATGACTATCAACAAAAGTCAAGGACAGTCGCTGTCTCATGTTGGCATTTATCTTCCTAGGCATGTCTTCACTCATGGGCAATTATATGTGGCACTATCTAGAGTAAAGAGCAGACATGGATTGAAGATGCTGATACTTGCTGAAAATGGTTGTGTTACAAGTACTACCTTTAACATCGTCTACAAGGAAGTATTTCAAAGATTAGTGTAGTATACTTGGTTATTTCTACAAAGAGATAACATTGTTGTTTGGTATCAGGTAAGATCTCAATTTTTTATCAGAAAATATTTTTTAATCTTCTTTGTTGATTTCCTTTAGTTGTTATGCCTATTTTTCTGCTAATTTTTTATTGTTATGCAGATTCAGTATTCGAGGCATAATCAGTATATTATTCCCTTGTCATTTTTCAGAGTCAAAGGTTTTTCATTGTAATTCTGAACTATTCATCTGCCATAAACTATATAATTCCCTTCAATAATTTTTTCTTTTCCAATTATTGTTTATGATTCATTTCGAACAGCAGCAAATACCAATAGTGCATGGCGGACGATATTTTACAATTGTTGTGAGTATCATTTGGGCATATTTCTTATTATATTATTGTCAACATGACATTTAGATTTTTTTTTAATGGAGATTTTGCTGTCAACCGTGGAATTTACTGTTTTTAAATTATTATATTCTTTTTTTGTTCCTACCTTAAAAGTTATATGTTTATGTCATACGAACAAACCGATTTTCTTATTAATTCGTTTACGGGACAAACAAACTGATTTCTTTTTTCTCCGTGCATCGCACGGGTAATCAACTAGTTTGATATGTACAAATGTCCATGATAACAACATGCAAATTGAAACTTACTGTTATCATGATAAAAGAGTGTTTTTGGTATATACAAATATTCATGGTAACAACATGCAAATTGAAACTTATCATGATGAATGAGTGTTTCTTGCCAATAAAAGGAAAACTAATAGTCATTATATTATGAATCAAATGCAACCATAACATTAATTTTTGATTCCTAAAATTTAAAAAAAAAAAAATGCACTCAATTCCCAAAAGTTTTGAAAATTGTTGTAGTAAACACTTTATTTTCAAATCTTGGTAAAGGGAAAAAGAGTACAAATACTTAATTTTTTGTTATTGTAAACTTGTTATTATAGAAATAGCTTACCATAAAAGAAAAAAACAAGACATCATGCTGCAAGCAAAGCTGTCACGTAGTTCTCTCACCCTTATACTTACAATTTTGGGGCCCACTCTCTTCCTCCCTAAAATCTCAACCACCCACCTAAGAAGAACAAAAGAAAACCAACACGCACACACACCCTCTCTGTTTCTCTTTCCAAAATCCGAAACTCAGAAAATCGCCTCAACACCATGGAAGAGCTCTCAATGAGGCCTCTTGTCCCCACTGTCCATCCCGATCTTTCTAAACCCGCCACCACCGATATTTGCACAATGGATACAGAATAAAAACAACCACAACAAAGGAAAAAAACTTCGATAAGAAATTTCTGGATCAACAACCACAACAATGGAAGAAAAACATCAATACACACTGGAGTTTTACATGAATAAACAGAAAGAGTAATCCCGCCTTCTTCAGTTGCATGTTTCTCCAATTGGATTAACAAACAAACTGAAGTAGATGGTGCATCTAAGTATAAGACTGCGCAAGGTTGATGAATAATTTCCTGAGATGTTGTTTCTTAATAGAATTATTTTTTTCTAATTTCAAACATGATTAGTTGGTGAGTGCTTTGCTATTCTTATTGGTGGGATAATGTATATGAATTACTTCCTCTCGTTGTGCTGCTGTCATTTAGTTTTTAGTGTTTAGGTTGAAAGGTGGATTCAGGTTTCTGACTCGAAGCTTATATTTGTTCTTTGTTTTATATTGCTTGGGTAATAGACTGACTGCCAAGGAGCGGAGCAGCTCGACCCAAACAACCACAACAATGGAAGAAAAACATCAACACACACTGGAGTTTTACATGAATAAACAGAAAGAGTAATCCCGCCTTCTTCAGTTGCATGTTTCTCCAATTGGATTAACAAACAAACTGAAGTAGATGGTGCATCTAAGTATAAGACTGCACAAGGTTGATGAATAATTTCCTGAGATGTTGTTTCTTAATAGAATTATTTTTTTCTAATTTCAAACATGATTAGTTGGTGAGTGCTTTGCTATTCTTATTGGTGGGATAATGTATATGAATTACTTCCTCTCGTTGTGCTGCTGTCATTTAGTTTTTAGTGTTTAGGTTGAAAGGTGGATTCAGGTTTCTGACTCGAAGCTTATATTTGTTCTTTGTTTTATATTGCTTGGGTAATAGACTGACTGCCAAGGAGCGGAGCAGCTCGACCCAAACAACCACAACAATGGAAGAAAAACATCAACACACTGGAGTTTTACATGAATAAACAGAAAGAGTAATCCCGCCTTCTTCAGTTGCATGTTTCTCCAATTGGATTAACAAACAAACTGAAGTAGATGGTGCATCTAAGTATAAGACTGCACAAGGTTGATGAATAATTTCCTGAGATGTTGTTTCTTAATAGAATTATTTTTTTCTAATTTCAAACATGATTAGTTGGTGAGTGCTTTGCTATTCTTATTGGTGGGATAATGTATATGAATTACTTCCTCTCGTTGTGCTGCTGTCATTTAATTTTTAGTGTTTAGGTTGAAAGGTGGATTCAGGTTTCTGACTCGAAGCTTATATTTGTTCTTTGTTTTATATTGCTTGGGTAATAGACTGACTGCCAAGGAGCGGAGCAGCTCGACCCAAACAAGCAACGGCTAACGAGAGAGCGCTAGCGCGAAAGCCGCGCCCATTTCTACAATTTGCTTACACAAGAGAAGAGAAAAATTGTTAGAAGACTTTTACTTTCATATCTTACCTGCCTACTGGAATGCATGATGTAAGCTCTATCAAATCAATTTTATCAAATTTTCATGGATATGGATTTTTTTTCCTTTTTAAATACATGAAGTTAAAGGGTGATTTTGAAGTGATGGTGAATAATCTCATTTTCATAATTTCCAGCCCAAAATTACTCATGAACCTCGTGCAGTCTTTTAAGGTTCTTCTTTTCTTATCGAAGTTTCTTGGATTCTCTTGACCTTAAATAGAAGAATAGAGGTGGTAATATGGGTTGAACCCGACGGGTCAATCTGTCAACCCGCCAAAATGGGGTGGGTTGGGTTACACATCTTAACCCACCAACCCGCGTCAACCCACCCCGTCGGGTTGTGGGTCAAAACGGGTCGGCGATGGGTCAGGGAGGGTTGGTCGTCGTGTCAATTTTATTTTTTTTTACTATTAAGTAGTATTTTATTTGTTTTTAACTTTTGCAATATCCAAATTTTTTTATATTAGCTCTCCTTAGAAAAAATAGAGAAGAAAATGTTTATTTACGACAAATGTTATCTATATATTGAGATAAAAATAAGTTCTTAAAAATACTTGATTGAATATTAGCATACATTTAGACTTTAGATTGGAAAAAAAATTAAAGGAAGTGTGAAATAAAAATAATTAATATTATAAAATTAATAAAGTATAATTTATTTTTAATTTTTAATTTTTAATTTTTAATTTTTTAGGCGAGTTGCCCCCTTACCCGCCAACCCCCCATAAAACAGGGTAGGTTGGGCTTTTCAACCCACATTCAAAGGGAGGGTCGGGGTTGGCCAACCTATTTTTGGCAGGTTGACTGCGGGTCAAGGTGAGCCGACCCGTTTTGTCACCCCTATAGAGGAAGGAGAAGATTCTAGATCATCAATTATGAAGAGACATTGAACCACTCAAAGGATGTGTCCCTTGAGCCTTGCACCAAAGTGGAGAGTTCCAATGCCTTGGGACTTGAGCCAAGCATTGAAAAAGGAATAACTCCCAACAAATCTCCCCCTTCCAACTTCAATGCGTCGGGTTCAGCATCAACCCAGCACCTTCACAGCAGTCTTCGAATTTTCTTGCTGGTACCGGCCTCATCATCATATTTGACTAATTGAGGTTATATAGTGTGCACTTTGTCAAGTTCGAGTTGTCCATTCTCCATCACATCCTGGATCCAGTGATATCTCACATCAATGTGCTTACTGCGGGAGTGATATGTCGAGTTCTTCGCAAAATAAATTGCGCTTTGATTGTCCGACTTCAACTCGTATTCTTCTTTTTCATGGTCGAGTTCAAAGAAGAACTTCTTCATACACAATATTTCCTTGCAAGCCTCAGTTGCGACTATATACTCTGCCTTAATTGTCGAAAGTGCCACACAGTTTTTTCAATTTTGAATTCCAGGAGATAGCTCCTCCTGCAAAAGTCATCAGATATCCAGCTGCGACATCCGTAAAGCCTTGCAACTCGGCTTTACCTTTTCCAAAGCAGAGGCATAAATTTTTGATCTTCTGAGATACTTGAAGATCCACTTTATTACTTCTCAGTGTTCTTTGTCGGAGTTAGACAGATACCGGCTCACTATTCCAACAGCATACGCAAAGTCAGGTCTCGTGCATACCATTACATACATCAAACTTTCGACGAGGGACTGGAACAGGATCTTCAACATCTTGTCTTTATGTTCATCAGATCTCGAACATTGCTTTTGACTCAGCTTTATATGTCCGGATAAGGGAATGCACACTGTTTTGGCTTTGTCCATGCTAAATCTCTTCAAAATCTTCTGAATATAGTTTTCCTATCTCAGCCACAATAGCTTTCTATGTCAATCTCAGATTATCTCTGTTATAAGGATTTGCTTTGCAGGGCCGAGGTCCTTCATTGTGAAGGACGAACTTAGTGCCTTCTTTAAGGCGGCTATCCTCATCTTGTCTCGCCCTACAATCAATATGTCGTCAACATATAATAATAAAATAAAAATTCTCCTGCTTCATACCTCTTGACAAATACGCACTGGTCGGCTTCAGTCTTCACGAACTTGTGCCCGATCATAAGTTTTCAAACTTCTTGTTCTTCATATATTAATATAGCAGCTAGGTTATTTTATCATCATTTGTTGAGGAAGAAAAATATGGTTATCATAATCAATACTATGGCCTAAGTTGAACATGGAAAGAATATCTGAGATAACATGTGCATCTTTTAAACAAATATTTTTTTTATATTAACCCTAATTATTTTTGTGTGCCTAGTCAGCCCTTCTTGTATATATTCCCATAAGTTTCAATTCTTTGATTC